CAACTGGGCTCTCACTTGCAATGAGGCAATCCTTTTATTTCTCCCTAATTGATTTGATATTGTACTGCCCAAAGAAGCTATTTCAAACCTTCTTTTTTCTCTTCAGCCCTCCCACCAACCTTCCCCCCATTCTATAGGCTAAGGAAATTACTTCTTATTTTACTGGGAAAAAATTAAGGCCCTTCCACAGGAACTCCCTCTTCTTCCATTCACTTCATCTCAAAATCCCTTGACACCATTTCCCTCTCTTGCCTCTTTTCCCAATCACTCTTCACATGCCTTTGATCCCATCCCTTCCCATTTTTTCCTACATATTGTTCTTCTATATCCTCCCTCTGTCTGTCTGTCTGTCTGTCTGTCTGTCTGTCTGTCTGTCTGTCTCTCTCTCTCTCTCTCTCTCTCTCACACACACACACACACACATCTTCAACCTCATTATCAAGTGGTTTCTTTCCTACTGCCTTCAAACATGTATAAATCTCCCCTGTACTTAAAAAGCCTCCACTAAGCCCCATACTCTGCAGCTATCATCCTACATCCTCTCCTCCTTTCTCAGCCAAATTCCTTGAAAATTTTTTGATACACACTGCCTCTACATCCTCTCCTCTCCCTCATTCCTCTTTTTTATCTGACTTCTGACCTCATCACTTAATTAAAACTGCTCTTGCCAAAGTTACCAGTGACCTCTTAATTGACAAAACAGTGGTCTTTTCTCAGCCTCATCTTGCTTTAGCTACCTGATGCATTCGAATGTGGACCACCTTCTCCTGGATGCTCTTTTCTCTGTAACTTTATTGGTTCTTCTTTCATATGCCTAAATACTCCTCAGTCTTTCTGCTGGTGCATCTTCCATACCATATCCCCTAACTTTGAGTGTTCCCCAAAGCTTGGTCTTGGGCACTCTTCTCTATACTCTCCCACTGATCTCATCAGTTCCTATGTGTGATTATCACAATCACATGGATACCCAGCTTTATATATCTAACCTCAGTCTCTCCTCTGAGCTGTAGTCTAATTACCAGTTTGCTCTTGGACATTTCAATCTGGATGTCCTAGAAACATATGAAACTCAACGCATATAAAAAAAAATAACACTTTGCCTTATTCCTTAAGCTCATCCCTCTTTCAAACTCTCCTATTTCTGTCGAAACTTTCTATCCACTATTCTTCTTTCTTCCAGGTTTATAACCTCAGCATTATCCTGTACTGTACCCCTCACTTTCACTCACTACATATATTCAACCAGTTGCCAAATCTTTTCATTTCTACCTATGTAACATCTCCTACATTTAATTCTTTGTCTCTATTCACATAGCTACCACTATAATTCAGGTCTTTAATCTCCTCTCACCTAGATTATTCCAATGGTCTTCTAATTGGTCCCCCCATCTCAAGTCTCTCCCCTCATTTAGAGCTCTTACACAGAGCTTTCAAAGTGATTTATCTTAAGCAGAGATCTGACTATGTCACTTCTCTACTCAATAAACTCCATCGGCTCCCTATTACTCCTAAATTCCTATTTAGCTTTTAAAGCCTTTCATAACCTAGCCCCAAACTATTTTTTCCAATTTCACTGTACATGATGTCCACTCACATACTCTGCAATCCATCCAAACTGGTCTTTGATTCTGTGTTTTACAGACGACGCTATCTCCCACCTCTGTGCCTTTGCATTGGGCATCCCTCATGCCTGCAATGCTCTCCCTTCTTAACTCTACCACAGAGACTTCCTCTCTTCTTTCAAGGTACAGTTCAAGCTCTACTGTCTGCACAGAGCCTTTCCCAATACCTCCCTATCTCTTATTGCCTTCCTTACTAAACTCTTCTGTGTTTAGTCCTTTTATATTCATTTTCATTTAGTCTGTTTATATTATTTGCATTATATATATATATATATATATATATATATATATATATATATATATATATATATAAAAAACTTGTCTCTTTTGTTAAAATGTCAGCTTCTTGAAAATAGGGATTTATTTTTTGTATTTGTATTCCCAGAGGCTAGCATAGTGACTGCACATAGTTGTTTTAATTTGCATTTTAAAAAACAATCAACAAGTATTTATTATGTACCTACTACATGCTTGGAACTATACCAGGCTCTGGGAGATAGAGACACAAATGAAATAATCCCTCAAAAAGAACTTATATTCTAATTGGGGAGCCAAGTATATGTTAAAAAATATATACAGCATAAACATAAAGTTAATAAATGTACATATATCTATGCACACAAAGTAACAAAATAATAGGTAGTATGAGAAGGAAGACACTACCAGTTGGGAAGATTCTTCATGCAGTAGATTGTGCCATGTAAATGGTAGCTGGAGAGCCAACCCAGAATTGCATGGGGTGCTAAGGATGCTAATGGGACCTTAGGTTGCATGGAGAGATGTACAGTGTCCATAACTAGGATTTTTCCTGGTCAGGCCACATTTGGACCGTTTGTCAGATATGTTATAGAATGGGATTCTTGTGCAGGTATGGGTTGGACTGGAGGACCTCTAAGGTCATAGGTCAGTCTTAGGATTCTGATCTAAAAGGAACCTACCTTTTAATGGTTTTAATGGTTTAATGAGGTCCAGAGATATTAAGGGACTTGCCTGAGGTCCCACAGGAAGTAGAGTTAGGATGTCTTTCAACTCTGGATCATGAGGAAATATGATCTACCATTTTTCTTTCCCGTTAGGGTGGATCCACCGCCAAAGGCACAACCCTGAGGAGCGTCTCTGAGGCTGACTGGAGCCTGTGTCCAAGAGGCTCTGATGCAGACTTAGTTGTCTTTCTCAGCTGCCTCACAAACTACAGTGATCAGATTGCCAACAGGTCCACTATCATCAAGGAAATTCAGAAGCGACTAGAAGAGTGTTCACTGAAAGAGCAGTTTGAAATAGAGTTTAAGGTCACAAAATGGAAGAACCCACGAGTGCTCAGCTTTACCCTGAAATCCAAACTTCTTAACCGGTGCCAAGAGTTTGATTTGCTGCCAGCCTTCGATGCCTTGGGTAAGACTTTCCCTGGCCTTGGCTTCTAGGAGAAAGAGACAGGAGAGAGAGAGAGAGGGAGGGAGAGGGAAGGAGGGAGAGAGAGAGAGATAGAGAGAGAGAGAGAGAGAGAGAGAGAGAGAGAGAGAGAGAGAGAGCAAGCGCACAATATTATCAATGCTACACTCTCCTTTAAGCACAAAGGAGTCAAGATAGTACTTAACAAAGCATGTTGACTAATAGTACTGTCATACTTGAGATTGTCATAAACTCTGGGAATTTATATACATCATTGGGAATAAAGGTTGCTAATTCCATAATTTCTTTTTAATTGTCTTCCCCTTGATAAAATTTTCCTCTAACGACTGTGTCCGCTCAAGAGGACTCTGGAGTTTTTCCAGAGTTCCCTCAGGAGACTCTGATGCAGTATGCCTTGGGACATCTTGCTTGGGTTTTCCAGGTTTACCAGGTCAGGGAATGAGCCAAGAAAGTTAGAAAATGGTCTCAGAGTGTTCCTGATCCCTTGAGGTTATGACACAATGATTCCATAAGCTTTAGACATCCAACCCACCAGGGTTGTCTCCCTCCTCCCTCCCTCCTTAGGCTGTGAGCTCAGACTGATGACCACCAGCAAGATCTAGACTACCAATGTTCTCCACCAAAAAGGTCCTATGAGCTCTTCCAGGGCAGGGACCCTTTCTTAAAGTCAAGTACTAGGAGTATAAAACAGAATATTGGCCACCCATAGGGCTCAATAAATAATTAATGACTTTCCCTTCCCTTCCCTTCCCTTCCCTTTCACTTTCTCTTTCCCTTTCCCTTTCCCCTGTTCTTTCTCTTCCCTTCTCTTCACTTTCCTTTCTTCTCTTTCTTGATAACTTTATCAGTACCATGGGTTTAACTATTATCTCCTAAGGAGCTCATAATCTAAGGAGGGAGATGATATGCAAATACCTATGTAAAAACATGATACATACAGGATAAATTAGAGATAATCAGAAGAGGGAAGGTGCAAGTATTAAGCAGGATCGAGAAAGCTTTCTTAGAGAAGATGAGATTTTGAGACTTGAAAGAAGTCATGAAAGCTAAGAGGCAGAGATGATGAGGGAGAGAATTCCAGGCATGGGAGACAGCCAGTTAGGAGATAGAATGTCTTATTCAAGGAACAGAAAGAAGGCCATTGACATTGGATCACACAATACACGTGGCAATAAGGAGTTGTTATTAACAACAGCACCTATATTTGCATAGTCCTCCATTAAGGGCTACCCCATTAAAGCTTCAATACGGTTTGGAGATGACCCTCAATTCTAGAGAGTCATCCTAGTCAATTCTAGAATGTAAGCCCTGATAGTTCCAACAAGGCCACACACCTGTGGTGCACAAATTAGCCCAGTTAGGCCTAGAGAAGCTTGAGCCCAGATAGGCTGCAGGGTGTTGAATTTTTCGGCCACAGCAACTCTAAAACCACCTACCAAACTGTGTAGGTATTTCACTCTCCATCATTGGAGGAAATATCCACACTAATGAAATCAATGCTTCCTGAAGTATATTTACATGGACTTCATACTTTTCAAATTATTTTTATATACATTATCTCATAACTTAGAAGAAAAGTCACTATATCTCATTCTTGGCAATTCTACAATATTAGTAGGCATAGTGCACATTCTTGTCTTTCAGAGCATCTTAAAGCTAAGAGCAAATGTATGGTTTTGGCCTCCTGTGCTACTGCTGATTCAAAGTCTGTAGTACTAGAATGTTACTCAAAGGTACTTTGAAAGCTATATAGTGCATTTTATTATTATAATTTTTTCCATGATAGGTCCACGGGTTTCAAAATCAAAACCAGACCCTACAATTTATATCAATCTCATCAAATCATCTGAAAGCAACAATGGGGGTGAATTCTCCACCTGTTTCACAGAACTGCAAAAAGACTTTATCAGACCTCGTCCCACCAAGCTTAAGAGTCTTATCCGTCTGACAAAGCACTGGTACAAACAGGTGAATTTCTTTCTTTCTTTCTTTCTTTTTAGTCATTTGGGGTTAAGTGACTTGCCCACAGTCACAAAGCTAGTAAGTGCCAAGTGTTTGGTCTGAGACTGCATTTGAACTCGGGTCCTCCTGACTTCAGGGCTGGTGCTCTATCCACTGCACCACCTAGCTGCCTCTTCAAACAAGTAAATTTCTTTAAATAGCCCTTCTAGTTTTCACATTAATCATGGTACCAATGATACTCAGAATTTGCTGTTTAGGATGTATTTCTAGATTGTGTTTACAATTTACAAAGGACTCTCCTCACAGCAAATTTGTTGGGGCAGATAATGCAAACATTGTGACCTCCATTTTATAGATAAGGACATTGAGGATTGTGGAGGTGAGCTTGTATCAGAAGTCAATTCAAACTCAGATATCCTGGGTCCAAGTCTATCAGTCTTTCCACTTCAGCACAAAAATACCTGCCTAATCATAGCGTACCACAAGGTGCTGAGCCACAAGCTCAGGGGAGCTGTAGGGAGAGAAGAAAGCAGCCACTTTGGGGGTGCTCAAGTGCCTTTGCTGCATATTTTTACTCCTAAGCATCTTTAAAGGTTCCCTAGTACCAGCCCCATGGTGTAAGTCACACCTAAAAGTTTGTGGTACCACTTTCCTGCCACCTAATTGATTTCAATGAGCATTTATCAGGGACCTACTATGTGGAAGGTCTTGAGCACAAATAAGGCAGTCCTAGACCTCAAGATGATTAGGTTCTACTGGCAAGGATGGGGGTGGAGGGGTACAACATGAACACAATTAAGCAAACACAAAATAACAAGAAGTCATTTCAAGGGGGTGAGAGTGATCATCCCTGGAAAGAATCCATAAACACCTCTTGAGGCAGTGGGCTGTTCTTTGAATAAAACTAAGGATTGGCTCTATAAGGTTGAGCTGAGGAGGAATAGCATTCCTAATGTGGACAATGTCCTGGAAAAAGACAGAGAGGTGAGAGGTGGGTCATGTGGGGATCATTAATAAGTCAACCTAACTAGAATGGAGAGTGTGTGAATGATAGCAATTGTAAATAAGACTAGAAAAGGAGGTGAAACCCTGAGTGTTTTCCCAAAAGGAAGAACATTTAACATTAAACATTTCTATAATTATTCATTGGCTGAACCCCAAAGGCCAGGTGCCAGGACAAATGCAAGTTCAGTCTTGTTATGAAAATAAGTGTAGGGTCCTAAAAGAAACGTTCTCAAGTTGTCCACATAGTCACAGCCACATCAGGAAGTTAACTTTTCCCAGAACAAGCAAAGAAAGTCTGCCAAAAAAAAAGAAAAAGACATCTGCAAACACTGGGGTGGGAGACTGACCAGGAACACAACCTGGTGGAAGTGGCATTGGCTGCAGACTATGGAGCATCAGCATCAGTGCCAAGTGATGTTAAGGGGACATACCTGGTCATCAAGAGATTCCAGGGGACCCCTGTGCTAATAGTAGGAGCAGGAGCAGGTACAATCTAGCATCTCTGTCAACTTTTACCCACTTCCATGTCTCAGTTCTAGGGTAGAGAGTAGCAGTTACAGTCATGAGGGAGCAAAGGCTCTACCCACATGACCAGAAGGCAGATCAGGATAACAGTGATGAGACCTCTCCCTGGATCACACTACATTTGAAGAACCAAAAATTTACAGGCCCCCAGATCAAGCTGTGAAAGCAGCAGGACAAAAAAGACAGAAATTCTGGCCAGTCACTCCCCTCAGAGGTGAGCAGAGCCCAACTCTAACTTAAAGTTCAAAGTTAAGAAACAGACTGAAAAAATGAGCAAACAATGAATCTGACCATAAAAAAACTACAATGGTGACAAAGAAGCTCAAGACACAAACTCAGAAGAAGACAATAAATTGAAAACATCTATAAGCAAAGCCTCAAGGAAAAATACAGATTGAACATAAGCCCAACAAGAATTCCTAGAATAGCTAAAGAAAAGATTTTTTAAAAAGCAAAAAAAAAATTTTTTTTAATTAAAAATCAAATAAGAAGTATAGAGGAAAACAGGAAAAATGAAAGCACCTCAAGAAAATTATGACAAGAGAATTGGTAATAGAGGCACAAAAATATAGAGTAAATATAGAGATAATAGAAGTGTGGTAATTAATAGAGGCACAAAAATACTGAAGAAAATGCCTCCTTAAAAATTAAAACTAGTCAACTGGAAAGATAATGGCCTCATGAGACATCAAGAAACAATAAAACAAATCAAAATACTAGAGAAAAAAAGAGAGAGAAGAAAATTTGAAATATGTCACAGGAAAAAAAAAACAACTGACCTGGAATATAGATTGAGGAGAGATACTTTATGGATTATTGGACTACCTGAAAACCATTACAAAAAAAAGGAGTCAAATATCATATTTCAAGAAATTTTGAAAGAAAACTGACTAGAGATCTTAGAACCAGATAGCAAAACAGAAATTGAAAGAATCTAATGATCACCTACTGAAAGAAATCCCAAAATGAAAATTTCCAGCAATATTATAGCCAAAATCCAGAACTGTCAGGTCAAGGAGAAAATACTGAAAATAACCAGAAAGAATTCATTCAAATATCGTAAAGTCACAGTCAGAATTTGACAGATTTAGCAGTTTCCACTATAAAGGGGTGGAAGGTTTGGAAGATGATTTTCTGGAAGGCAAAAGAGATAGGATTACAAGTAAGAATAAGCTACCTAGCAAAACTGAAATTTAATGAAATATGGAGCTTTCAAGCATTCCTGATGAAAAGATCAGAACTGAATAGATAATTTGACATTCAAACACAAGACTCAAGAGAAGCATAAAAAGGTAAGCATAAGTGAGAAATCATAAGGGGAAAATGATGCATGTAACCTCTGAGAACTGTATCATTATTAGGGAGTTAGGAGTCAACTTAGAGAACATCGGTGTGAGGCTATTATGTCAGCATGAACTCAAAAGAAGAATGAAAGGATGAAAAAGAGAGATACACTGAGAGAAGAGGGAGAGGAGAAAGATAGAGGAAATCATCTTACATAAAATAGAGGTGCAGGGAAGAGTTTTTACAACAGAGGGGAATGTGAAGTGGGGGAGAAGGATCAGGCAACAGATTGGTTCAAGGAGGGAAAATATATATATACACACAGAAAGGAAGTAGGAAGGAAGGGGGCTAAGAGAAAGAGGAGGGGGTGGAATGATAAGAGGAAGGTACATAAAAGGAGGTGATGGCCAGAAGCAAAACAGACTTTTCAGGAGGGGACAGGGTAAAAAGAGGAGGATAAATATGGAGAGACTAGGACTGAGGGAAATGCATAGCAATCATAACTGTGAATGTAAATGGAATGAGCTCATTCATAAAATGGAAATAAGTGATTAAAGAAGAATCTATTATGCTTTTTTAAAAAAAGGCAGGTGTAAACACCAGCCCTGGAGTCAGAGGAACCTGAACTCAAATCAGCTTACTAGCTATGTGACCCTGGGCAAGCCACTTAACCCCAATTGTCCCCCTAAAAAAGGCAGGTGTAACAATGATGATCTCAGACAAAACAAAAGCAAAAATTAACCTAATTAAAAGGGATAATCAAGGAAACTTCATTTTGCTTTTTTTTAAAAAATGTATCATATATAAAGAATGAATATCAATACTGATGATATATGCAGCAAATGGTATAACAGCCAAATTCTTTTTTTCTTTTTCTTTTCTTTTCCTTTCTCTTTTTTTATTTTTTCCATATGCTTTTGAGTTGAAATTTTTTCTCCCTTTTCCTCCTCCCCCCCCTCACCCTCCCCAAGATGGCGCACAATCTGATATAGGCTTTACATTTACATACCCATTAAACATATTTTCACATCAGTGAAGTTGTAAGTACAAATTAAAACCAATAGAAGGAACCATTAGAAAGATGAAACAAAACTCAACAGGAGGTAAAAATAAGTGATAGTGATTTGACTTCCATAGTTCTTTCTTTGGATGTGGACAGCATTTTCAATCCCAAGTCCTCTGGAGATGTCTTAGATCCTTGTAATGCTGAGAAGGGTTCAGTTTAACAATCTTAGTCATTGCATAACGTGGCTGTTATTGTGTACAAAGTCCTCTTGGATCTAACAGCCAAATACTTGAAGGAAAAGTTAAATGGGTTACAGGAGGAAATAGATAGTAAATCTATACTAGCAGGGAACTCAGTTTACCCCCTATCAGACCTAGATAAATCTAACCATGAAATAAACATGAAAGATGTTAAGGACATGAATAGAATTTTAGAAAAGTTAGTTATGACAGACCTCTGGAAAATATTGAATGGGAATAGAAAAGAGCATACCTATTTCACAGCTATGCATAGAACCTTCACAAAACTAACCATGAATTAGAGCATAAAAACTTCAAAAACAAATGCAGAAAAGCAGAAATATTAAATTCATCCTTTTCAGACCATAATGCAATAAAGATTATATTCAGTAAAAGGTCTTTAAAGCATAGAATAAAAATTAATAGGAAACTATGTAATCTAATTCTAAAGAATAAGTGGGTCAAAGAACAAATATAGAAGCAATCAATAATTTCATTAAAGATAATGACAATAATGAAACTGCATACTGAAATTTGTGGGATTCAGCCAAAACAATACTGAGGAAATTTTATATCTCAAAATATGCACATCAATAAAAAGGAGAGCAGACCAATGAATTGGGATGCAACTAAAAAACAACCAGAAAAAAATAAAATTCTCATTTAAACACTAAAATATAAATCCTAAAAATCAAAAGAGAATTATAAAATTGAAAGTTAAAGAAATCACTAAACTAATAAGTAAAACTAGGAACTGATTTTATTGGGAGAGAAACAAGGTAGATAAATCATTGGCTAATTTGATTTATAAAAAGAAAGAAGCCAGATTACCAGTATCAAAAATGAAAAGGGTGAATGCACAGCCAATGAAGATGAAATTAAAGCAATTATTAGGGGCTATTTTGCCCAACTTGACACCAATAAAACTGAAAATCTAAATTAAATGG